GTGGGCCATCCAGTGTGGATTCTGGAAACCCAACTCAGGTCCTCTGCAAGATCAATACAGTACTCTTAGCTGCGGAACCATCTCTCCAACCCCAATAGAAAACAAAAAATTAAATCATGAAAGTTATTATGTGATGGAGGATATTGATAATGAACCCTGATGCATGCAAAAACATTTTTGTAATTATGAGTCCTGTCAACGTTTAAGGAGGGCTCAATGTATACCAGGCACTATTTAGGACATTTCCGTAATGTTTATTTGTTGGGTGATGGATTATGACATACATCCATGCACAGTTTAGGAGTAAGCTATTGTACCTCCCTCCTAGTAGGCATGTCTTAGCACAACTATCCCATGCCAGGCTAGTTGACAAAACTTCTATCCTGTAACAATCACATCGTAGAGTATTTTGTAACTTCAGTGCCTACTTAAGGTGATGAAACTGTAATAGATAAACAAATTGCCCAGTTGTAATTTACATTACATTGGGAAATTGTCAGGTGCTGTTTAAACTTATTAAAAGTGAATTCTGGGAGTCAGTTGACCTCCTCTGTCTCATATTCAAGCATGTTTGTTCAAGTGTTCTCCAGACTCCCTGTCCTAAGTCATGCTGGCTCCATGAGTCTGTAATAGAAATAGGGGGAAAATCTGTAGGTAACAAAGGGTTTTGACACACGCCTTTTATCCCAGTACTCAGGATACAGAAGCAGGCAAATCTCCAAATATGAGGCCAGCCTGATCTACAGACTGAGTTCCAGGACAGTCAGGGCTACACAGAGAAACCCTGTCTTGAAAATATCAAACAAAACCAACCAACCAAACAACCAACCAAAAACTTGTGTCCTTGAGAATAGCTAAAAGATAAACCCTTGTCAACAGAGGTTGCTATTGTTTATCTCGAGGAATAAAAATGCCTACAGTGGGAATGGGAAGTCAGAAGCTCATTGATAGAAAGACTCTCAGGGGGGCTGGAGAGATGGCTCAGTGGTTAAGAGCACTGACTGCTCTGCCAGAGGTTCTGAGTTCAATTCCCAGCAACTGCATGGTGGCTCACAGCCATCTGTAATGAGATCTGGTGCTCTCTTCTGGGGAGCAGGTATGCATGCAGGCAGAACACTGTATACATAATAAATAATTTTTTTAAAAAAAAAGAAAGACTCTCAAGCAGAATCTCCAGTCGGATTTTACCAGATGCTGTAACCCTCCAATTTGATGCTGTCATATTCGTTTGCTCTCTCAACTGTGCTACTCCAGCTGCCCCTGCTGGCTGTTGTAAAAGACTGGCTTGAAGATGCCCAGAATGAGTTCCCCTAAGGGGGGCAAAAAATAAGAAAGTGCAGCCTAGAAATCCTTTAGAAAGTGCAGAAAATGAATCTTATGTGCAAAGCAAATACGATCTCCAACAGAAATAGCACCGGGATTCTCTCTTCATGAGAATAAAGTCTCCTCTAGATGTCTTGTTTTCATAAGCTTATCTCGGAGCAGTCCAACATGGTTTGCCAAAATGCTGAGGATGTGAGTGTTGACATTACTGTTTCTGTCTATCTCGAGCCAAGATCAACTGTAACTCTTTGACCTGCCCAGTATCGTGTGAAATAGGGACTTGGGTTCTGTGGAGCTGAGAGCCAGCGTCATCAGCTTTGTTCAGCTACTTCACCTGATTCTGAATTACACTGCTTGGTTTTGCTTAAGTTTGCCTTTGTATTGTGTTCAGTTCTTTAGCAGAAAGATAAACAGGACCTTGGGCAAATATTTGACTATTAAAGTCGTCACGGGGATGCCCAGTTTCTCTTTCAGACCCCTGACAATCTTCATTTGTAGTTCCTGCCTCGTCTTCTCTCCCCAGTGCCCATCCGATACACTTATCACTTCACTATTTTAGCACTAGTCAAGCAATCAAAATCTATAGCTCACTGACATGCAAAAGGAGACAATGAACCAAGCAAGTAAAGGGTAACAAACGGCGGCCTCAGCTCTCCATGCTAAAGAACAAAGCCTTAAAAAACGCCATCTTGAACCATTCAGGAAACTGTTTTCCATGAGCAGAGTTGTCGACGGGGCCCATTTCAATACATCACATCTTTTCCTGTTTCCTCCCCACCTCCTGCACTACTGGCCATGGACTCCCACTTTGAAGGCTGCCTATTTTTCCCAGTATTCAAAATGGGGCTTCTAATTCATCTGTAGATTCTGTATTTCTGGAGCCAAGGGTGAAACAAGGGCTTTGTCCATGATGGACAAGCGTTCTTTACTTCCTTGCTGCACCCTAGCCTAGAGCTGTACTATTTGACACTGTTTTGAGGGGTCCTGTTGAATAACTATTTCCAAGGCATGTCTTTCTGAGCATTCCCTTGAAAGGTTCCTTGCACCTGTCTCATTAGACTAATATTTACGATTTATGTCTAGTTCCCTCAACAGTATGCCTTATTAAGGTGGCAGTAGCTTTGGTTGAACTTACATCTCTCTGTCTCTCTCTGTCTCTCTGTCTCTGTCTCTCTCTGTCTCTCTCTGTCTCTCTCTCTCTCTGTGTGTGTGTGTGTGTGTGTGTGTGTGTGTGTGTATGCATGTGTGTGTGGATGGATGGGTCTGGGTCTGGATCTGGGTCTCTATCTCTCCCTGCCTCCCCAACTCTGTTTTTTCCTCTCTCTGAGACAGGATCTCACTGTGTAGCCTTTGCTGACTCAGAGCTCAGTATGTAGACCAGGCTGGCCTGAAATTCACAGAGGTCCTCCTGCCTCTACTTTCTAAGTACTGGGATTAAGGCATGTGCAAACCATGCTCCGTTATTTCTGAGTATGTCCAGTTCCATGGTATGAACATGTCCAAGGCAGCCCAGCTGACTCTAGCTCTGTGGCTATTGAATTACTGGTTTGTAGTTTGGGCAAAGTTGTTTAGAATGTTCCGTCTCAGTATTTCATTAGCATCAATGATTTTGGGGGTTACTCTAAGCTTTCAGATCCTAAGGCTTCTTTCTCGTGTTTAGGTTAGATCTCAGATTGAGATCACACCATGACCATGTTCTTCTCTGTCACTGGTGTCGCCATCAACAGTGTGGAATGTGGAGCTAAGTAGCAAGGATTGAAATCCCAGTTCCTTCATTTTTTTTTTTTTTTTGGTTTTTGGTTTTTTGAGACAGGGTTTCTCTGTGGCTTTGGAGCCTGTCCTGGAACTAGCTCTGTAGACCAGGCTGGTCTCGAACTCACAGAGATCCGCCTGCCTCTGCCTCCCGAGTGCTGGGATTAAAGGCGTGCGCCACCTTCATGTTAGCAGTGTGACTCGGTGTTCTGTGTAGTTCGGAAAATGATGTACAATAGCTGTATTTTCGGTTTCAAATTCGCGTGTTTATTAAGAATTTAGCAAGCAAAGTAATAAAATGAAAGAGCCAGCAGCAAATAGACAGAAACAAAGCATAGCTAGGGAGCAAAATCTTCATCAGGAGGAAAGTCGAAAGTGGCAAATCTATCAGCTAGCATCGGTTTAGCATTGACCGCTGTTTAGATGTCCAGTGGCAAAAGCATCACATACGGATGGGTTCAAATCCTTGCTGTGTCTCTATGCAACCTGACACATTACCTAATCCTGCTAAACCTCAGCTTCCCCATCTGTAAAAGGAGTAAAAACAGTAACTGCCATGAAGGGTTTTGAGAAGTCACGAGAAGACGGCAGTGCAATGCCCAGTACCCTAGGAGCTGTGCTTCCTCTGTACCACTCTGCACTGACGTGGAAAAATAGAACACGCAAAATCAGAACTGAAGACAATGGCATGGTCCTCAAAGATCGATTTTCCTTTCTTGCACCCCACCCCCACATCTTTATGTGCAGCAAGCACCAGTCCCTTAGGTTTGATACAGGCCCTATCTGGGGACTAGTTACCCTCGGATCGGGTTGAATCAGCCTCTATGGGTGGTGTATTTGCACCGCCACAAACATTTATCTTGGAAGTGACTCTAAGGTCCGATAGCATTGATACCTCCCGGATCTGCTTAGATAGCACCTTCACTAGCAAGCTGCTCTAGTAAATAGCCCCCTGCCCACACTCAGGCAAGCAACCCCAATGAAACTCCATGGGTGCCAACAAAGATGGCATGAAACCAGGAAGGATATTTGTTCAGATGAAGGGCTTCAGCGGGAGTGAGAGGGGACTAAGAGAGGAGAGTGGAGGTTGAACTAAATAAATACTTGACCAAAGTATTTTGCATCTATGTATAAACTTATCAAAGAGTAGATTACATACAATGTAAAAAGTACGGCTGGTTCTGTCTTCACCCCAGACCTTCACCTACACCACAATTTTGGTGACTCCTGGGCACGCTAGTGTTTAAGGTGCACTGACATAAGGCACGATTTTTTTGTACCATTTTGAAGTCCACTGAAGTCATGGCGGCGAGTGAGAACTGTTCAATTCTATGGCTGCAGAACCAAATACACAATTTGCCTCCCATATTTCTATTTCCACAATAAGCATTCGTGCTGTCGGATTTAGGGAGACTTCAGAAACCTAAAAGCAAATGTTTGTAGCTGAAAGAACTTGAGGGAAATATAAAGAAAAGAAGGTATAGCTTTAAAAAACTCTGTCTTTTTTCAAGCGGTTATAAAGAGAATGTGAAGGGCAATGCAAGGGCAGTATGGACACAAAAGTCTGGGGAAAATCAGTAGAGGAAAGAAAGAGCCCAAAGCTCCATCCAGGCGGCTGTGCTCCGCACCCCATCAGACAGACTCTCTGAGTGAGCTTTTGAGCAAGGTGAAGAGTTCACAGCGAGGCAGTAGCAGTTTCTACTTCTGGTCCCCAAATTTCAAGCTCGCTTTTGATTCCCAGGGGGATCACAGCACCTCTGTATTCTTAATTTTGTGGTTATTATTATTATTATTATTATTATTATTATTATTATTATTTACTGTGATGGGCTCTTCAAAATTAAAAAAAACCTCCATCCCCCCAACACCTTGATCCTAACCTATCCTTCTGTAGGCTATGACATTGTATAGCCACTTCAACGTACCATTTCAGGCTTCTTCTGTCTCTCTGGGGTCCACCACAGTGAGGCGAAGCAGCTCCTGCAAGGTCTCAGCCTCAGCTGTCTTCTCTCTCTGCAGTAGCAGCCAATTGCCTCACATTTTTTCCCCTGGCTGTCAGGTCAGAAATGGCTACACGACTCAGTGCCCCCAAAGCGTTTATTGTCCTGCAGGGCCTTACACAATCTCACAGGAAGCCACGCTCAACACTTAGGCAACATTTGTTGATGTGATTGAATGCAATGGCCACGGAGACAAAAGCATATTTCAGAAAGGCTTCTACCACTGATAACTGCAGCTCCGGCTTTTCCCAGGCAGCTCTTGGGGACATGTGATAACCCGGCCTTTGTTTCTCGAGCTTTGTGCTGGAAAGGACAAGAAAATATCTTGGTGAAACCCGGCTTCTGACGCTGACTTCTCTCACAGGAGCCAGAAGCAGGAAATCATTAGGTAACGCCAAAGAGTACAGAGACTAAGCAATGAAAACTTCAGCCCAACACTTGGACAAAGCGGGCCCAGAGAATAAAAAACACAGCCACGATGGTGCCCATAGCTACGTTTTGTTAAAGACTAGAAAGAAGTTTGGAATTGTCAGTAAAAGTGGGACCCAATATGATGCCTGCCTCTGAAAATGGTTAAAAACTGGAACCAGCCAGCAGGCCATGCACACTTTGTTTCTTCTGAGGTCAAACCTAGGCAAAGAAATGAGCCGTGGGCACCTGGTACTGCATGAAAATAGTGGCTGGGGGGACCTGGTCCTAAAACAGCACTTCCATTGCCGCAGACAAACCTGCTGTCGGAAGACAGAAGGAACTCAAAGACTAGCAGAAATTCTACCAGTGTGCCCATAGGAAATGTGTTAATTTATGTCAGAGAAATTAGTCTAAAAATGAGAGTGAGACTGGTTTTGCTAAATGTATGTTGTGCCAATATCACAAGGAAAAAGTGTGACTGCCAGTTTTTCTTGATAGTGACCGCAGTTTGGTATTTGGCTTTTTTTTCATCTGAATATTTTCTCTGGTGTATACTGGCTGGTCATGTATAACAAATCTAACAGCATTTAAATCTCAATCACTTATTATTTTGTGTGTGTGGATTATTTTTGCCTGAGTGTGTGTGTGTGTGTGTGTGTGTGTGTGTGTGTGTGCAGAACATGCATGTAGTGACCAGAAAAGGATGGATACCCCAAGACTGGAGCTGCAGACAGTTATGAGCCAACACGAGAGTCCTAGGAATCAAACACGGGCCCTCCAAGAGCAGCCAGTGAATTAAACTACTGAGCCTTATCTCCATCCCCTGATGGCATATTTTAGAGTCAGCTGTAGGATGCAAGCAAATTATCCTTTCTTTATGCATTGATGTACTATATTTGTTAATGAATTGGTGGGCATATTAATGTGTCTATGAGCATGTATGACCTGGTCATATGATGACGCCTTGTGTGGGCAATGGAGACTGAAGTCCCTGACTTTCCAACAAGCATTCTTTTTTTTCCCTTATTTACTTATGTTTTTAAAAGAAAACAATCTTCTTTTTTCATTATACATAACAATTCAAATTCCCACTCCCTCCCCTCCTCCCTTTCCCTTCACATATCCTGCCACTTCACCCCCATCCAATCCTCAGAGAGGGTAAGGCACATTGTTTTGAGGAAGGTCCAAGGCCCTCCCTACTATATCTAGGCTTAGAAAGGTATTCATCCAAAGAGAATGGGTTTCAAAAAGCCAGTACAAGCATAGAGATAAATACTGGTGCCACTGCCAGTGGCTCCGCAGTCTGCTCCAGCCATACAACTGTCACCCACATTCAGAGGGACTAGTTGGTCCTATGCTGGTTCCTTCTTTGTCTGGCTGGAGTTGCTGAGTTCCCATTAGCTCAGATAAACTATTTCAGTGGGTGTCCCCATCATGGTTTTGACCTCTTTGCTCATATTCTCATTCCTCCCACTCTTCCACTGGACTTTGGGAGCTCATCCAGCAAGCATTCTTTTAAGCAGAGGTAGGGTTAATATCGCTGCTATTCTTTGAGTTGGTCAAATCATGGAGAGCCTGCCATGTGTTATCATTCTGGTTGAGATTGTAGTCATGACAGGAAACAGAGCACAGACCCAATGACCTGGTAAAATGATTTAATTCTATACCTTTTTCCATATGGTGATTCATATTTATTTCATGGCTTATATAGGGCAACCTGGTAGATAGCTTTTAGAATAAGAATAATTCAGAGAAAGAGAAGGAAGGGATGGTAAAAGCATGGAAAAACCTGGGTACTATCTTTTGGGATTTCAACACTCCCCTTGGGTCTTGAAACATTCAAAGGCAGCAAGAAAGAGTAGTTTCCTCTAAGTTAAAATGTCACAGATTTATTTTTTCCCCTGCTATTTCTCCTGAAACTTTCTTTGGCTCTGCATTTTCCATGGTTTCAGATAATTGCCAACTTTTGATTCCAGTTGCGTGATTTAATGTACTCAAATTATAGTCTTTGTTATCTCCTTTGGCAGGCGAGATCCTTGGCATTTTTTTGCATGTAAGCAACAGCCAAAGGGACACAGCATGGGATTTGACTTTGTGGCATAAAGAATCTTATTCCCTTAAACTTATGGTATTGTACCTGCTATAATTGAAACAGACAAAGGGAGAGGGAGAGGGGAAAGAGGAAGAAGAGAGAGTAGACAGAAAAAGAGAGAAGAGAGGAGAGAGAGAGAGAGAGAGAGAGAGAGAGAGAATATGAATGAATCTCTCCTGTTAGTGGCTGATCTCTATTGTTTGCTATATTCAGCACTTGGGAGGCAGAGACAGGTGCATGTCTGTGAGGTTAGGGACAGCCTGGTCTACATAGCAGTTCCAGGACAGCTAGGGCTACATTGTGAGACCCTGTCTCAAACAATTTTGTTTGAATTATTGTTGGAGTCCGTGTTGCTCCAACACAGATAATTATGTTTTATTTTTAAGCTTTTTGATAATTTTATACAAGTATGCAATGTATTTAATCACACCCACTCCCCTCTCCTCCTTCTACGCTGGCTGTCCTCTTCTTTCTAACTAGGTCTCCTTCTACTTCCCTTTATGTGCGGGGGGGGGGGGGTCACAGCTGCCGTGAGTTCATGATTATAACAGCCATGCCACACGCAGAAGACAGGGTTCCATAGTACTTCTCTCCATCCTCTGGCGCTCATCATCTTTCTGGCCCCTCTTGTAGGCTGTTCCTTGGTTCTTGGAAAGGGAATCAGACCATACCTGTCACATTTAGAGCCGAGCAGGTGAAAGTTATATATTCTCAGCACTTTGAGCAATTATGATGAGTCTCCACATTAACTGTGTCATACCGCAATAAGAAGCTTCTCTGGCCCAGACTAAAAAAAGCACTAATTTATGGGAATAAACACAAATATTTAGAGGACAGTTTAGCTACATGCCTATTTAACAAAACAATAGTAGACTTACAACTAGGGCCTGTGACTTCCCCAGCCATAGGACTTTGACCAAGTTTATATTTCCAGGTATATATTTCTTCCCATGGAGTTGGGCCTCAAAGACCAGTATATGTAGTTGGTGACTCCACAAACGATCTTGCCACTATTGTACCAGTGGGCATATGAGGCATAGAAGGTTCATATTGTAAGAATATGTATTGGTTGGGAGCTGCCACCACAAGGTCTCTGGCCAGTATCGTTTCCACCTGTCCACAAGCATGGGAAATATCTTTGCAAACCTCTTCAAACTTCTTCTTTTTGGCAGAGAAAGAAATGCACATTCTCATGGTGGGCCCTGGATGCTGCCGCAAAGACAACATTTCTATACACACTGAAGCTGGGTGAAATTGTGACCACCATTCCCACCATTGGTTTCAACATGGAGACAGCTGAGTACAAGAATATCAGCTTCACCATGTGGGATGTGGACGACCAGGACAAGATCCGGCCACTGTGGCGCCACTACTTCCAGTTCACCCAAGGCTTGATCCTCCTAGTGGACAGCAATGATAGAGAGCATGTGAACGAGGCCCATGAAGAGCTCATGAGGATGCTTGCTGAAGATGAGCTCTGGCATGCCGTTCTCTTGGTGTTTGCCAACAAGCAGGACCTCCCCAATGCCATGAATGAGGCTGAAATCACAGGCAAGCTGGGGCTGCACTCTCTACGACACAGGAACTGGTACTTTCAGGCTACCTGTGCCACCAGCTCGAACAGGCTCTATGAAGGACTAGACTGGCTGACCAATCAACTCCGGAACCAGAAGTGAACCAGACCCCTTGCTCCCCCTCACTTCCTCTTCTCCACCCTCCACTTTCCTCTCTGTGGTCCTGAGTGCCAGAAGCTGTCTCCATGGTTTGGTCACAGTGTGCAATGGCACTGTGCTGTACATGTGCAGATGTAGCCTGCAGGCAGGTTTTTATTTGATGTAAATAGTTTCTGTTTCCACTGATGCAGTCTGTAGTACTCCTATGCAATATTACTTAGCTTTTATTTTTATTCTAAAAAGAGAATCACTGTCAGTACTGAGAAGGGATTTGATGTAGGGGCACCTGGCCTCCAGGAGCCATTGGACTATGGACTGGTGTCAGTATCCATTTGGTGCTTGGTTTTTACCCAAACTCAGACAATTTAAAAAAAATAGTTAAAAAAATACAAGACAAGAACACTTGAACACACAGAACGGAGACGATGCCTAGTGTAGGTTTTGCAGTAATGGTCTGAATGCTAGTCCATGGGATCACCTGTTCCCGCCGTGGGAACAGGAGAGAAAGAAAGTGACAACAAACCACCATCCGCTGCATGGTCACAGTAGAGCCCCTGTGACTCACCTGTCTTTGCGTCACCCGCGTTCCATAGCATTGTGCTTGTACTTGTACTCACATGGTCACCTAGGGGTGGGCTGGGAGCCATTGTGGGGTGCAGGGCCTGGCTTGTATTTGGTGTGCAGCTGGGCCAGGTGGCAGCCTACATACCCAGCTTACTTTTGGGCCCACTTGGACGCGGTGGCAGGAGGCCTGGGTCTCACCAGCAGGAGCACATGCAAGCCGGGAGGGTTGATCCATTCCAGACCCACATCCTGGAGCACCTCCATCTCCATGTGTGAAGTAGCTTCCTCCCTTAGCCTGCAAGGGTTCGATTTA